AGCACCACCCCATCTGAAAAAAAAAAGTGGGTGTCTAACCCACCCTCACACACCCCGCGGCGCCTGGTTGGGGTGGGGGGAATTTTGGGAGTTGAAGTCCACACATCTTTAAGTTGCTGAGGCTGAGAAACACTGATCTAGAAAGGAGCTGAAACACTTTTTAAGTCCAGAACATCCAGATTAACATTCAGAAGCGGCTCAGTCAGACCTTCCCCTGATTCACCGGGATTAAGGAGGAGGAGAAAATACAGCACGATCAGGCTTGCAAGATTCTGCTATTATACTAAGTAGTTTTAGCTGTCCTGTAGAGTCCGTTTCCTGCTCTGATCTACTTCGTGGGGCTGACCAGAGTGTTAACCGGTGACGGACTCGCTCTCACCAAACGCTGCTTAACTCCAGGCAGAGCAAAGGCATTTGAGCATATTTTTAGCCTGTTTTAATTCATGCATTAATATTTATCTATTTGAATGGATCCCTATTCTGTTTTTACTGTAAACCACCCAGAGTCCCTCTGTAGTGAGCCGGGTGGGGACAAATGTGAAAGATAAAGAAATAAACTACAACTCCCAGCAGCCATTGTGGGGTGAGGGGGGGCGAGAGGGGCGTCTGCACTTGGAGGACCACAGGTTCCCCATGCCTGGGATATAAGCTCGCCAGCTGGGTATTACCAGGGTGCCCTGTTGCTCAATACACCCAGTTGGCTGAGTTCCCACTTACACACTAAGCCCAAAGCAAATAAAATTACACACCAGTTCAATGACTCTTTACTGTGTTCTCTTCCGCATAAAATGAATCAGTCTCATTGATTTTAGAGCTGGGGGCAAAGGATTACAGGGTTACCCTTCCTCCCACGCCTGAACTTCCTCCTGGTTCTTCTGCCCTCCTCACAACAGTGAGCAGAATCAGGCCAAATGCTCACAGAACAAACAACAAAGGGATCTGCTCTTCACCGGTAGCCTACCCCCAGCTGGGGAGGTTCCATGGTGTAATTGTGACTGACCCTTCTGGGGAAGAGCTGACATCTTCGGTGAGGTCCCTGTGATTCTTCTGAGCCAGGCACAAGGGTTTTTAAGACACCCAGAGCTAGTGTTTGTGGTCCCGTGGCAGGGAGTTTCGCAGTTCATTCGGTGGTGCCCTGGAGAAGGATTTTTTCTCGGGGTGGCCCTGCGTTTTCAAATTACGCAAGGAAAACGGCAAAGAGCCGATGGCCCGATGAAGAAAGGATTGCCAAAAATCAATGGAGTATTCCAGGGCTGAACCTTCATGCTGCCGCTGCGTGAGCCTATTCAGAAATTCACACTGGAGACACCATAATACTAGATTTACACCACTGGCTCCTTTAACCCTTTTTTATTGTTCCTGGCTAAATAGGGGAGTTGGATCCAGACGGCACTGAATGCCCTCGGACTGGGAAGAAAGCTGAGCCGGTTGAACTTCCCTTCTGCATCACAGGTAAAAGCTGCACCAGTTGGATTTCTGCCAGGGAGCACCCCTCTGCCTCCAAGGACCAAAAGCTCAGGGAGGCAGAATAAGCGGGCAGATTCTAGTACACTGAAGCATCAGTTCCCCATTTCCCGTGGGGCCCAACCAACCGCCGCTGGTGATTCATTCCCCATTTGCAGTTGATCATCCCTTTGGCACCCGAGCCAGAGATGCCATTCCAGGATCCTGAATCACCCAGAAATGCAAGGGGGGGGGGAGAATCGTGACCCGCAAATTTTTGCCTTAATTTCCTGCCCCCC